CCCCAAAACCCCAAAACCCCAAAACCCCAAAACCCCAAAACCCCAAAACCCCAAAAATAAAAAATAAAATTTCATAAATTAACTTTTCATGAGCAATATGGCCAAGCCGACACACATCCTTGACTTCTCAGAGTACCTCTTTCAAGAGGTCATGGACCTCTTCAATGTAAAGCTTGATGAGAAGCCAGTCGATCCTCGACTGGCCAACAGGCAGAAAAGCAAGAAGTTTGTGACTCTTCCCCAGCTGCACAAGTTCTTGAGAGAGAGGCTCGATATGACCTCGGAAAAGGTCAGCGAACTCATTGAGAAGATCGATAACAGGAATAAAGAGAAGATCACATGGACTGAGTTCCTCCTCTTCGTCAATAAAGAAGCTGAAAAACGTGAAGTCATCAATGATGCTAGTATTTATGGCTGCGGCACAAAGAGGTTCATAGAGAAGCCCCGCAAGCGGGCTTTCGCTAATGGCCAGCCTATTAATTATGGCATAGACTTCTTTCTTAAGATGGAGCTGAATTATAACACGATATACCTCATGATCTTTGAGAATTACACAGTTGGTCTTTTCAACACAACGTAAGTGGACCAAGTCTAATTTGAATTTAGGACGAAGAATTATGATGAGTTTCTTAGAATGAAATTCCCATCAGATTATTCAAAACCAAGGCATCCCCCAGAACTCGAAGAAGAAGAGCAAGCTGATCCTTTCAGAGATTCTAGAAACCAAGGAAATGACAGCCTTTACGCTTCAATGAAGAAAACAAAAGTGAGAGGCAAGAGGCCTTCAACTAGAGGACCAATCAACAGAAGAACTTCTAAATCTATTAAAGGTATTGAAACTAAGAACAGCAGGAAGTATAAATTTGAGGATAGTAGCACAACTCTTAACAAATTTAATAAAGCTGGCAGGCCTGCTCACAAACTCACGAGTAAGGTCTCCATCAGGACTTCTGATAAAAGTTTTGAAATGTCCCGTGTAGAAGAGAAATCAGTTGCTAGCAGAGAGTATCCTCTGTCTAAGAAATACACAACTGTTTCTAAAAGAGACCAATTTGACAAATTTGAAAGGGAGTCTGTTCAAGCCACAAAACCTAAAATCAGGAAGAACAATGCTAATACGAGGATTTATGGCATTCTTGGTATTGAAAGGCTAAATCCTGACGATAATATCCTTATGAGAGGCAATATTAATTCTAAGAAAGAGAATTCATTAAGCATCGCAACAACAAAAATCTCCAAGACTAAGATGAAAGAAGCCAAGCAGAAGTTTATCAACGACATGAGCATCATGGATTCGAAAATCTCAGAAAATGAAAAGAAACTCCAGAGAATCAGAGAGGCTAAGGGAGGTTATGTAAGTCTAATTTGCTTAAATCTAGGGCTCTAACAGGAAATCAAAGAAGTCGATTGTAGAAGAATATGACCCATATAAGTTCAATATACATCACAGAATTCAAAATTTTAGACACAGGATGGACGATACCTCATACTCGATCTTTAAGCTAAAAGATGAAATTACCCATATTTCTAGCGTGGGAGATCCCTGGACTTTGTATGGCAGGGGTAAAAGGACTGGCACAGCTTCAATAAGAAGAAGGCCAAGAGAGGATAGTCTCAAAATTCTTGATCCTCAAGCATATAAATAAGAATTTCAAGAACAACCTCAGAGCTAAAGCCGAGCTTAAGAAACAGGAAAAAATAGCTAGGCAGACTAAGAAGATTTTCGTCAGCTTCGCCTGCTTTGATAAGGAAACCAAGAAGCTATGCTTAGCGCTTGTCGATTGAGAAATCAGGATCTACAATGTCAAAGAAAATGGAAAGAGGATCAAACTTGAGGAGAAGCCTCTCAGCTTTAGATCAAAAGACATCGTCACTTATATGGAAATCACAAAATTTGTAGTCAATGATAGGCAGATTTTGATACTTGGAACAGATGTTGGAACTGTAGAAATCTACTACCTTGATGAAACTACTGGACCTTTGGACAAGAACCAGCAAAAGTTACTAAAAATTAAAGATTTAGAGGGTATCCAGCCCGCTAAGAGAAGAGATATTCGATTAGAGAGCACTCTCATGAAAGATTTCGACATTGATAAAGGCAAAGATCTACAAATTATTAAGCTTAAATATGCTAGAGATGTTGGGCTTATTGTGTGTGCCTTGAACGATACAAAGGCAAAAGGAATTCTGAACTTCTTTGATTCAGTAGACTTTAAGAAAACATGTAATTATGAAGATGATATTATAAATGCTAATCAGGATAAGTTCAGAATCAACATTACCTCAATGGACTATTCTGAGAGTCATAATCTCATAGCTATAGGTGGAAGTGAAGGGAATATTATAATTATTGATTGAGCTGCTCTGAAGGTAGTCAACACCTCTCATTCCCATTCTCATTCAGCAGAAATAATCCAAATATTTTTCTATGATTCTGAGCATCAGGTCATCAGTATTGCTAAGAATGGTGTAATATTAGTCTGGGATGTCAACGAAATGAAAGTCCTTCAAAGTTTCAAGGACGAAAATGGGTTCAGATATAGTATGTTTGATCCATCAGGAAAGGGGACTCTTTTTACAACCAACCAATACATCCGACAATACCAGTCTAAAGTTGACCCGGAGATAGAGCTTAAAGCTTTACAGGTCAAAACTTTGTCGAAGGATTATACAAATCACAAGACTTTGTTAAAGAAATTAACGAAAAAGAAGTCTGTATTAGATAAGAGTTCCCAATTGAAAGAAGTTAAGAACTCAAATGTACTTGTAACAGAAGACTCTTCCCTTGTATTTGTGGGATTCCTAGACACTCATGAAATAATTCTTAGTGTTGACACTAAGAACTTAGTACGACTCTGGAACATTACAACTGGGGAGTCAGAGTCCTCGTACAATGTTGAGATCTCAGGCCAGGCCACCGCTGTCAGTATTGATGAGAAAAATGGCTTAATTGCTATTGGAAATGATAAAGGAGAAGTCAAAATATGAAATGTCTTCAGTGGCGGTCTTCTTTATGACCTTCCAGAAGGCCCATCTGAAATTACTGAACTTAAATTCGTGAATGCTATAACAGATATCAGTCTGGTAGGGACTTGATGGAACGGGAAGGTCATGATGTGGACTCAGCCTAATGAAGAAAGAAACTACCAGATTGACGGTATCTGTTCCATAGGCCACAGAGAAGATATCATATGCATTGATAGTGATGAAAAGTATATAGCTACAGGTGGAGCTGACGGCCTTGTCTCAGTATGGAGCATTCTATCAGGAATGCTAATCCATTCCTTCCCAGTTCCGACAAGAGATTTTAAGCGTCCCAAAACTGTATCTAATAACGTTGTTGCTGTGAAGTTGGTGAAGAACCAATCTAACATCTTGTATGTATGCCATGAAACTGGAGACATCCACTGAGTAGATGCTTCGAATGGAAATGAGAATAAATATTTTGCAGCCAGAGCCACTATAAATTCAAATTGGGATATTGATAAAGCAAAAGAAAGAATGCTCGTTGTTGGCGACACAGGAAAGGCAAGCCTCTTTATGGTAAATGATAAGAATCAAAAATGGACTGAGATTAAAAAATGGAACATCCATAATATTATGACTTATGACAACAATTATGTTTGTACAGTAAAGGCATCTCATTCGAATAATCTTTTCATAACAGCTACTATCCAAGGAAACGTAAAGATTTGGTCGATTGATGGAGATTATTTAGCTGATTTGAATCAGCAAAGTTGGCCAGGAGACCTGACACAAATAGCAAATAGGTAATTCACTCACTCATATAAATAGTTACTTTGATCAAAGCCCAATAAAGGGAGGAGCCAAAAACATTGTCTCCTTTGACCTTGCAGATAAGATTATTTACAGTGACTCTCAGAATGAAGAGAGTTCAGAATCTTTTTCACTATCCCCAACTAAAATTTAGAGTTATCAAGATTAGATTTTAACAATTATTTGCATCAATAATTATCCTAAGTGCTGGGGTTTTGGGGTTTTGGGGTTTTGGGGTTTTGGGG